CTATCCCAGCCAAAACCAGGACACACTTACAGAAAGCAGTTGGAAGGGACACAAAGAATGAAATAATTTTAAGCATTACTCTGAAAGATCTCACTGTTAATTTCCAAATGAAGCAGTTCTTTTAATGTTTCCCCTGAGCTTCTGATTTTCCAAACATGGATTCAGAATAAAACCATTTTGCCCAGAAAACAAAACCAAAAAATATGGAATAGCACTCAGGGCACCTCCACCCAGGACAAATTCTCAACAAACATGGTTGGAAGTAGGTTAGGATCTCTACAGGTATCTGGCTAAATGGAGGTTTGTACAATACATCTGGCAAACACAGGTTGAAACCTAGTAAATCTCCCATCTTGTAAAGGTTTGTCTAGAGGATTAAGGAACTTCATCAGAAGGATTGTAAAACAAAAATTAGACTTTAATACCGTGAAAAGAAATGTTGGAGTGTTCTGAACACCTAAGCGTTTGGATATTTAACACAAATCATATACTACCATTAAACGTCCACTGTCTTTCTCATTCCATTTTAGCTCTAATTAAGTAATACCCCTATACTTATTTAATTACTAGTTTAAATAAAGAATTTTGTAAAACTTACAATTATAAGAATATCAGGTTTAATATTGGGAATCTCAGCTGCCATCAGATGTCTGTCTTCTTGTCTTGAGAAATCACCTGTATATAAAAGCTATGAGACACAAAGAGAAGCAGTTATTCTGATTAAAGGTTCTACCAGGTCAGCAGTCTTTAAAAAGCTGCTTAAAAAATACCATTCCTATACAACAAAGATAATTTTAAGGCATTTGTGATAAAAGGTCACTTGAACTTTAACTAAAGACTCTTCTGATGTGAACAATATTAGGTCAATAGTACTACAACACAAATATTTTAACCGCAATAAGTAAAGGTATTTCAAGCAGTACCTTAATTGCAACAGAATTACATAAACAATTTTTTTTTTTTTTTCATTTGGGACATAAAGGTGGCATTTTCAGCATTTTGCATACATGCACTGACCATTAAGAAGTAAAAATTAATGTAACAGAAAATACATCAGGCCCTAAGTGGAAGTACAAAGTAGATAAATCAGCATTTACATATCAAAATGTAAATATAATGAATAATCCAATAAAATTACTTAAAAAAAATCCTTCAAAGATTTTCTGATACTTACAAAAAAAGCCTGTAATCTAGCAGATTTTCCAAACGCAATGATCATGTTCCCCATTACACCAAGGAGTAATTTGTAACTGTTAGTAATTTTTAATGAATTCTTAACTGTAGGGTGGAATGCAGCTGTGCCCAAAATGATGGTTTCAAAACTGAACATCTTTTACTTAACAATCATTCCACTGATGAAAATGTGAATAATAACAAAACATATAGTCAGCAGCAGCAGCTAACTGGTCTACATGTAACCTGCTATCACATTCCTCATTTGCTTCACAGGGAATTAAGTAAAATAATGGATGTTAAAACCCAATCCATTTGAGTCATGTATAGTAAGAGGGAAATCTTACTCCATTGTGCCTCAACCAGCAAAAAAAAAAAAAAAGGTAGTAAGATATCTAAATTTTATTGTAAATCAGTTCTATTTTGTCCTGGTTTCGGCTGAGATAGGGTTAAATTTCTTGCTAGTGCTGTGACCCTATCCCAGCCGAAACCAGGACATATTTCTATACTTTTTTTAAACTTTAAACTTCTAAAATTCTCAATCATTATAAACAATGAACAAAGCAATCCTCAGGACCACCATCTCTCTTCCCTCTTCAAGGCTGTATGAAACTTTTCTTGGGTGGTGATTATCCTACTGAACTCCCAATTCATGAGATTAGTTTCAAGTATCTGGTTTTGACACAGCGCTGCCTGTGATTATACAATGACTTATTTAATCTCTCTGTGCCTAAAATTAATAATAATCCTATTTCTTTAGGTACTTTAGCATAAGAGTGTTATGAGAAAAATATAACTCGCACACTTTGACAAATGCCATTTAAGCACTCTGACAGGCAGCCATGGTAAATCAGAATTACAAAAACAAACATCTGTTTATAGATTTTACTAAAACGCAGCTTCCGTGAGACTGCCTCAGCTATCAGCTACCTCTGAGTGGACCAGCAAGGAAAACTACATGTTTACTGGTTCCAAGTCTGAGTCATAATTCACCCCTCTAAAATCCAAACATTCTTCGTGGTTCCAATACACGTGTCACTTGCTAGTTCTAATCAATGAGAAAATACATGATCTAAGTCAAGGCCTTTCACCTTGACTTGAGTCCAAGTCTATCTGACAGCTCCAGCCACAGTGGTGGGGCTTAACAGGCAATAATAAATAATTAATGACTAAGTTAGAATTCAGGCTTGATTTCAACTTTATAATAAAAAGAAAATACCTTCACACCAGCTATTTCAATCATAAACATGGCTGCTCCCAGGACATGGCCTGCGTGGTAACACCAGAATTTGATTCCTGCCACCTCTTTCACTTCATGGAAGTTGATGGTCTCAATCTTGTCCATGCTTTCTTCAAGGTCTGTTTCTGTATATAGCATGTCATCCGCTGATATATTACTGGATGTAAGTGAAATGGCTAAATATCAGCTCATCTTACCAGCTTAGATTATATAACAGTTGGAAAAAGATGTTCCTGGATTTTTCCCCACTGACAGTAAGAATCCCATTCAGCAACGCTATGTCTCCTATTGGAAATCAAGTCTAGGTACTCCTAAGCAGAGTTAAAGTGTCTTTCTTTTGAAAGGCCACGCTAGAATAGTCTTTTCAGTTCACGATCTGCTCTGTATTTGTCTAAAAGTACCAACAGGTTCCCAGCCCTGGACAGAGGTCTGACACTCAGCTTGTAACAGTCCTCAAAAACCAAACCAAACCACACTTTTCCCATTGGCCCAGAACAAACAAGTTAAAAGAGGACTGTTTATCAGGTGTCTGACCCAAACTAGAATCTGCTGCATTGAGATATGCTCAGGACCACTGCACTCGCATACAAAAGATGTATCAAGGCATGTAACAGAAGAAAAAAAGGGAAAGAAAAAAAGGAAGGGAAAAAAGTAACAGAGCATTCTTTGTACATTTGCTTACATTTAATATTTAATTTGACCTTGTCTTGAAGAGTGAGTTGTATCTTAGGGGCTTAAAATTCACTACTTCTGTAAAGCTTAAGAAAAAATATAGACATTAAAAAGCATGAGAACAAAAGAGCATCTTAAGAGAGACAGATGGGGGGAAAAAGAGGATACTATTAAAGGTCCAAACAAGGCAAATGAAAAGAATGAGAGGAAAGAAGGAAAGATTTTTTTTTTCGATTGATAGGAAATTATTTGACAGACACATTATCCATGAGGCAGTAAGATGATTCATTACTTCTAATCTGGTTATAATGTTGTTACTTGTGGCAACATCCAGGTTCATCCAGACACCTTCGGTGGCTTCATCTTAAGCTTCCTATTGGATATATAGGTGAAATAATTAAGGAGTTGAAGAGACAACCGACGGGTCAACTTACCTGACTTTGACATAGTCTGAAAGAAGCCATCTGTAAATAGCCTTTGTGGCATGAGTCATAAACGTCCTTCCTTTAAAACTTGTTTTCTGCAAAAACCATGGTAAAGCCCCACAGTGATCTAAATGGAAACTTAAAATAGACACACAAATCCAATTAATACATTAACATTACACAACACTAATACAGAATATATACCATATACTTTACTGGATTAACATAGCGTGACGAAAATCCAGAAACGCAACCAAGAAAACGTAAGAGTAATACAGGAAATTCTCCATTAATTGCAAAAGTTTTACCCATATACTCTCAGAATTAACTTTTTTGTAATTTATATATAAATTTAGAGGGAGAAAAACAACAGGAACCAGGAACACAATAAATGTCTGAGATACAAGAAAGCTAACAAACATGATCTTAAGTTTGCATGTAGGACACTACGGATTAAAACATGTACTAAAATAATGTTATTTGGCCACACTTCTAATTTGACCTATCTTAAGAAAGTGCTTTTGAAATACAGGTAGAACAAGAATGTTGTGGTTTAACCCGGCAGGCAGCCAAACACCACACAGCCGGTCACTCACTCCCCCCAGCTCAGCGGGATGGGGAAGAGAATCGGAAAAAAAAAAAAGTAAAATTCGTGGATTGAGATAAAGACAGTTTAATAGAACAGAAAAGGAAGGGAAAATAATAATACTAATAATGATGATAGAATATACAAAATAAGTGATGCACAATGCAACTGCTCACCACCCACCAACCAATGCCCAGCCAGTCCCTAAGCAGTGGTCACTGCCCGCCAGCCAACTCCCCCCCAGTTTATATACTGAGCATGACGTCACAGGTATGGAATATCCCTTTGGTCAGTTTGGGTTAGCAGAGTAGAAGGGCTGTCCTGGCTATGCTCCCTCCCAGCTTCTTGTGTACCTGGCAAAGCATGGGAAGTGGAAAAGTCCTTGACTAGGGTAAACACTACTTAGCAACAACTAAAATATCAGTGTGTTATCAACATTATTCTCATACTAAATCCAAAACACAGCACTATACCAGTTACTAGAAGAAAATTAACTCTATCCTAGCTGAAACCAGGACAGTATATATCACGAAAACTCGGTATTTTATAGAGACCTGGTTATGACTGGTTAAGTCATTTACAAATGGCTCTCCTCGTCTCTCAGCCACTAAGCAATATTTAAACTACATTCAAAGCTTGTGTAAGTCTCTGAGAACCTTTTTCATTCAAAGCCAATAGAGCAAAAACCACAACCAATACTTCTCAGCAGTCTTTATGTAGAAAACTCATTCTAGAAGCTGTCACAATGGTGTTAAAGCAGGCCAGGTTATTAAAAAGTCAGACATCACAGTGAGCTCCAACGAGAGTTGTAATGTCAAAAGTGACTGAACATTCTTAATTTAAAAAAAGTTGGAAACTATAATTTTGCCATGCCATTGCAATCTACATAACACCTATTTTCAGCCTCTCTTAATAACCTACAAGTCAGCACAGCTCAGACCATGACCTCAGTATATTTCTTCTTTTACGTGCAACTTACTGACTAATTAGGAGGAGATCAATCTCAGCAGGATCTATCAAATCAATGTAAGGAAGAGCATCCATTCCTTCCAGTCCAGGATGGATTCCGCAATCAAGCTGAAAAATGAAAGAAAGTTAAAGCTTCTAACAGAATGTACAAAAAACCCTCTTCCATTTTGGTCTAAAATACAGTTACTAGCGACAAGTAACTTTTAGCAACATGCAAAAAAAGTATTTTTTCCTTAAACACTCCTTTTAGCATTGGATTTCACATCTCGGGCTTCTGTCTAGATGACTCACCTCCACTGGGAAACTGAACACCTTTCAAAAGATCGTAGTCTTTGTTTGTAACTGTGTACCTATGCAAGCCTTCATTCACACTTCAAGAATACCTAAATATACAGAGCAGTGTATGCAAGTTATTTTAGCCACCATCTGAGAAGACAGCTGGAAGCGGGAAAGAGAACATGTATGTGTTTACACGTGACTGTTTACACATAACTGTAGGTAAACATTAGCCTTAGGTTCCACTGAAACCTAGTATGTGTAAATTTTAGAATCTACACTTAAGACACATACATTCTGTTTGGGGATATGGATTTATTTTACAGGACAGCCTCTGTAATGCCTACTATCATATGTGCTATATTGTTCCAGAAAGCTACAAAATGTGCCTCTTCTAGCACAGTGGCCAACTTCAATGAGGAGGCTGAATTCAACCCGTAACATCTTTTTGCGATCTGAAGTACCTTAATGAGAGGGCATACAAATACATTCGTGCAATAATTACCATTATTTTTCTTCCTTTAAACTCCAGAATAATGCATGACCTTCCTACTTCTTGGCCAGCACCTCTGCAAAAGGATATCAAAGTCATCAAAATGAAGACAACCCACAATGCATAGATGTAACTGTATATTGGATGCTTTTAGTGGGATTATTCTTCTGTGTAGAAATAATGCCTGCACAGTCCTGTTAAGCTCAGATATCTAAAGTAACTGAACAGTTATATTTATCTCAATGGAAATGAGACTCTGTTTAATGCAGCAGAAATAAAAAGAACCTGTTTGGGGAAACTGATTTGGTCTCTTCTGGTTTTTATTGCACGCCTCCGCACTCGAGTCTCAAAGTATTGAGATGTATAATGAATAGAAAATTTACTTAAATAACAGATTACCTTGGGCGGAATAAGCTTGAAATAGCATCTTCAAGTTGTCCAGAAAACAACTTTGATGCTACCAGAAACTACTTCAAATTGCATTGGCGTCTTTACCAGAGAAAAAAATTCAACTTAAAATACTACAAAACCCACAATGCTGTCGAAGTGCAAAAGGCAAAAAAAGTTTTTTGCTCAGACAACACTTCAGTATTGCATAAGGGAAGGACGCAATCCTTCCCACCGGCCGTGACAGCGATCCCGCAGGCTGCAGGCTGCCTGCTCGCTGGAAAAGCAAGCAACGAAAACTAGGAGGGGGAAGAAAAAAGGAGAGCGGCCCGGGACTCCAATGCCTCGAACGAGGTTTCGCTCAGGCCGCCCAGGGCACGCCCCCGCCTCCCCTATCGCGATGGCACAGCCGCT